CTGGTAAAATTAAACAATGTCCAGTCACCATAGCCACCACTGGTCACAGACTCTGGGGAAGCCGCCCTGGCCTGACAGTGGTGTCCCTTAGAGGATGTCAAGTATCAGAGGGGTCGCCGTGTTAGTCTGGAGCTGTAAAAAGCGTCCTGTGGCACTGTCAAGACTAACAGATGTATTGGAGCGTAAGCTTTCATGGGTGAATGCCCACTTCATCGGATGCATGTCACCTTAGAGGGTGACCACCCAGCCCTTAATTTAAAACAGATACATCCCATTTTAAACGTTAAACTGAAGCTTGCGCTAATTGCATTGTCCAATTGAGGGCAGTAGAAATGTACAGGAGAGACCAATACTGTACATGCTGCCCTACAGGAAGGGGCGTTCCCCTAAAACCTCCCTTGCAGGAAAGCGCTGTCCCTTGCTTTCCCATGTGGTTTTCCCCCTTATATTATTTCAATCCAGCAAAAGTGCCCCCCCGTGAGGGAGCGATTGCACCCAGGCTCTGCCATGCACAGCTGGCCCCTGGCACTCACACATGGGGGACCCCTCGCCTCGCTCACCGCAAACCACGCAGACGTACTCGAGGCAGGCACCAAGCCGGAATGAGAACTCCGCCATCGCTGTGAGGGGCAAGAGCCCCTTCCCGTAGGGCGCCGCCATCTTTGTGCGGGGTAACGTTCGGGTCCCCTGGGCGCCGCCATGTTGGGGGTGGTACCGCTCGCGTCCCCAGACATACCTACGCGTGTTATTAATAATTAAATCGTTAAACATGATAAAACGCGCCTGACTAGAACGCTCAGCGCGCGGGGTTGGATTTTATAGCGAATGACGCCGATTGACGTGGATGTGGGCGCTTGACCCCCCCCCTCCGTCGAGGTAGCACTTCCGGGTGATGCTGACCTCTGCCCCCGTGACCCCTCCCTCTTCCTTTCCGGTGTTGGGTGCCCGAGAAGACGCACAAGTAAGTGGCCGGGCCTGGGTTTGGTGTCATCCGCTTCCATCCTCCCCGGGTGCGTCCCGCTGCGGCCTCTGCCGCCTGCAGCCGGCCTGCCCGGGCCCTTCCTCACCGATAGCGAGCCGGCGCGGCCGCCCGGCGGGTGGGGAGGAGGCCGGGGGAGCGGGGCCCTAGGCCGCGGGGAAGCCGGCGGCTAGAGTGGCCGAGCCGCCCGGCGGGGGGAGGGGCGGCGGGGGGAGCGGGGCGCTAGGCTGGGGGGAGCTGGAGTGGCCGAGTCGCCGGCGGTTTGCGGGCTGGCCAGGGCCGGCGGGAGGCTTTGTTTATCTTTCGCCCCGATTATGCAGCGGGTGGGTCCGGGCTGGGGTCCCGAGCCACTGACCGCTCGAGGCGGCTTCCCCCGGCCTGGGAGCGTAGCGGGGCTGTTGGGGGGAGGGAAGAAGCTCGTCGGAGAGCGCCTCCGCCAGGCGGGATGCGGGGAGGGAGGATAACAGCCCCGTGTGGTTTGGGACATGGGGCTTGTATCGCGGGATGGGGGGGGGGGATCCTGTCCTAGACTCAGCACAGGACGGGGGGGAGGCTGAGGTTCACTGTATATGTATGGTGGGGCACACCTGCCCTCCAGTGCTGCACACAAGTGGTTTCCAAGCACCCCAGTCACTCACGTGTCTCTTCACAATCAGAAATCCCTCTGGATGGAGGAGAGAGGGCCACAGTAGTGTTCAGTGTTTATGAGTGGGGATGCAAAATGTGTCAGTCACTTCATTAGACACTTGACTGGGCAAAGAGCTCTGCTGAACCGGGCCTAAAAACAGTACTTCTGATTTGTGCCAAATAGATATGATAGATAGCTATGGCCAAATTAATCCCTGTTATAACTTCATATATTAATAGGTTTACACCCTGAATAAACTTGGCCTTTTTAATCTAATCTCTTATGTGAGGGACAGACAATAGTTATCACTACATTCAGTTAAGCTTGAGGAAACCCCAGTTTATTAACTACGTTTTATACCAATTTTAGACCTAGGAGAGCTGCTACATGAAGGATAAGTGGTTTAGTCTTAAGTTAACACATCAGGATTTTTTTAGGGTGCCTTTGAGGTTATGCTTAATGATCTACTGAGGGACATCACAGTGTCTAGTCTAGTGCTATACTGCGCACATCCCAAAGTGGTCTGTTGATTGGTCTAATGCTGGTGTTCTCTTCATTTCCAGCTGCTGAAAGTATTAAATATTATTTTCCATGCTGTGGCTATAGATATTATTTGATTGTAAATGGGAGAGGAGGTGGGTCATAAAGTTGCAAATGGAAGTGGAGGTGACCATGAGACAATTTATCTGAAATGTGGTCCACACACTATGAACAATTCAGGGAATCCTGTCACCACATCACTCTTGTATGTTTCCATTGCCAGAATGTTGGCAGAAAAGAGAGACTTAGGTTGCCTAGGTTAGTTGAAAGTTTTCTGTTAGCACAGAGGATTTCCTGCATCCATCTACACTTGTTCTGGGTTTAAAGGAGGTATTGGAGATGCTACTGGTAAACACAGGACTGGGAGTCAGGATTCCTGAATTCTATTCCTGGCTGTGCTTCCAACTCTTAACTGTGGGCAAGTTAGAAGTCTCTCTGCCTTAATTAACCAGTCTGTAAAATGAGAATAATACCATACCGATTTGAGGCCCCATGAAAGTGGTTCTATTTATCTGTATTATCATAGGGCATAAAGGCTTCCACCCAGATTAAAGCTCTATTGTGCACTTCATATGTACATTGGGAGAAGCAGCGCCTTCTCCATGGAGTTTACAATCTAGGGCAAGAGGCAATCGTAGGCAGGTAACAAAGGCAGTGAAGTGAAGGGCTGTACCCCAAATCAGACAGCAGATCAGTGGCAGTATTGGGAATGGAATCCAGTGCTTCTGATGGAGGGCTGATTATACACATGATGATTTTAACTGCACGGTTGCCGTCCAGGCTCTCTTTCACGTTAATCCTTGTGTGGAAATGCAGCAGTGGGCAATGTTTATGGCGCTGCTGTTAAAATTTCCGAGAGATTAAGAGTGGCAATGGCATACACCTCTACCCCGATATGACGCGATATAACACGAATTCGGATATAATGCAGTAAAGCAGTGCTCCGGGGCGGGGCGGGGCTGTGCACTCCGGTGGATCAAAGCAAGTTCAATATAACGTGGGTTCACCTATAACACGGTAAGATTTTTTTGGCTCCCGAGGACAGCGTTATATCGAGATAGAGGTGTATAATAAAGCCAGTCTGATCTCCAGATTATTTAATATACTAAAATGTGGAAAGTGAGCCTAATGCTCTTCCAAAGGGTTAAACGAGCTGGTTTTACTGATGAATGGGTTGCCTGGTCCTCTTCAGTCTCTGGAATGTCCTGTATTCCAAACAAATAGATTACTGGTGCATGTCTCATCTGTATTGATTAGTAGCCAGTTCGACTGCAAAATGCCTATTGTGTTGATTTAAATACCCTTAAAAAGTAACTTCCCCTTCATAGGAGTATAAAGGACCAGAGACACATGGCTCCTTGCATCTGAAGAAGTGAGGTTCTTACCCACGAAAGCTTATGCTCCCAATACTTCTGTTAGTCTCAAAGGTGCCACAGGACCCTCTGTTGCTTTTTACAGATCCAGACTAACACGGCTACCCCTCTGATACATGGCTCCTGTATAATTCCAGAGAAAGAACTATCTTTATTGCTCCATTTCATGACAGCATGTAACTCCCGCTCTGATTTCCCCTCTCAGAGATGGCACCGCGTAAGGGTAAGGAGAAGAAGGAAGAGCAGGTCATCAGCTTGGGACCGCAGGTTGCCGAAGGGGAAAACGTTTTTGGCGTCTGCCATATCTTCGCTTCCTTCAATGACACTTTTGTCCATGTAACTGATCTCTCTGGCAAGTGAGTACTGAATGTTGGTGACATCGATACCATATAAGGCTCTATATTACTTACCTTCCCTTGGTATCGTCCTTACATGCTTTTAAAATTTAAATTGTGCATGTGTAACAGTTATTTTGGTTCAATAACCCAAGCTGTTTTCACTCACCTTTATCCTTACGGATAAAGTCTGTGCCCAGTATATGTGGATAAGCATCATATCATACACTTACCTGTTGAACTTACCTAGTTGCTATCTAACTGATTCTTCTAGGTCTTGGCTACAGGAGAGGGTTGCACTGGTTTAAAATTTTGTAGTTAAACTAGAAGAAAACCCCATATAGAAAACCTTATTTTGGTTTGAGTGGCTTATTTCAATATAGCTTAAGTAGATAAGGCATCAGCTTAAGCTAAATTGATGTAAGTTTCTCTTGAACTGAACTATGCAGGGCTTTGCACTCTAATCTTCTGAGCAGAAGGCAGTGGAGTATTAAAAGGAGTCAACGGGGATATATACCCGACACTTCTAATGCTGCTTCTTACAAAACACATGGAGGTACCATCACATAAAATGTCCAGATGTACATCTGAGTTGAAATAAGTGTTTACAGAAAGGGGGATTAGCATCGCCACTCTACAAAAGAGATGACCTTTAAACTGCTTGACAATGTCTACCATATCAGGAGCAGGCGTTTCCATTTGCCTTCTTGGGTATTTAGTAAAGATCGTTCTAAAATATATAATCCAGTTCAACCACAAGACATTGGGCTTGATGCTCAACATTTTATGGCCTGTGTTATTCAGGAGGTCAGACTAGATGATTGTGTGATCCTAACATTTATTAATCTATAAACTTTGGTGCTCGGGTGACACCATACAGAAGACTTGTAACAGGGTTTTTAATTGAAACTTGTTGGGCCATCTTTCACTGTCTTCTATTTTTGCTCAGTGAATGAGACCTAAGAGTTAAGGCATATCTATATGAGAAAGTTGCATTGATCTGACTTAATATATCAGTTTAAAATCACATTTTTAGATCTGTGTAAAGACTGTATGGTTGATTAAACCCGTTCAAAAGGCTGTATGGAGATGCTTATTTTGGTTTAGCATAAGTCAATTAGGAACAAGATAAACCGGAATAAAGTACCGTTTAAACACAATAAGTGTCCACACAGGGCTTTGTCCAAGTTTAACAAATTCTGTTAGTAATTTATACATTAAAGCAGTGCAATTTTTATATGTAAAAAGGGCCTTGCTCCCTTCAGAAATGACCTTAGAAAATGTAAGATGGATTCATATCAATGGTTGTCACATGGCAACTTATGAACTGGTAAATATATCAAATGAAATTATTTTGTCATTTGAATCTCTTGCTTCTGTAAGGCTTGCAGGTTGTGATCAGGCGCTTTCCTGAATATTGCTTTTGGCCACGTACAAAGAGGTATTGTCTTTTCAGGGAAACCATCTGCCGAGTGACTGGTGGTATGAAGGTGAAGGCCGACAGAGACGAGTCTTCGCCCTATGCTGCTATGTTGGCAGCCCAGGATGTTGCCCAGCGGTGCAAGGAGCTGGGCATTACTGCGCTTCACATCAAGCTGCGAGCCACAGGTGGAAATAGGTGTGTGTGGCAGGCTCTGCTTTGACATACATAAATTTTGCAGCGGTGAGGTCGTGCTTGGGTCCTGTCGGTGACTAAATGCTAGGTTATGCTCATCAGGTGGCCCAGAGTGAAATAAGGTCTTGCAGTTTTCACACAATCCTGCAATCGCATTTCAATTGTTGCTATCGCAATTTTAATGTGGGCAGCTGTTCTTCTACAACACTGCTATTGAGAGCAGCAGGGAGAGAACTTGTATCTCAAACACGCTCTAGCATTATTTTATTCCACGCATCTTTGCAAACTTGATGCATTTTTTGTGTGCAGGTGGGGCTTGTTCTGTTAGCAGAAACAACTCCATGTTTAGAGGTGTACATTTTCAGTTGGTGAAACATGTGAAAGCCCTGGTCCACTGACCCATGGAGATAATATTCACAGGTACTAACATTAGTTCAGTTCAGCTCTGACCTGAAGGAGCCATGCTTATAATGGGCTGTGTTTTAGTTGATACGTTAAGAACTAGTTCGATTGGGAAGGTATGGGTCATTCTACATAGTAATGACATTATCTTGTGAATCCATTTGTAATTAAATGAATACCTGGCATGGGTGGGTTACAGGAATCTGTTTTTTCCTAAAATATATCTCCACCGCTTTTTCGGCAGGCTTATGGGCCGCTTGTTTCATGTTGTCAAGTATCAGGGGGTAGCCGTGCTAGTCTGTATTCACAAAAACAACAAGGAGTCTGGCGGCACCTGAAAGACTAACAGATTTATTTGGGCATAAGCTTTCGTGGGTAAAAAACCCACTTCTTCAGATGCGTGGAGTGAACGTTACAGATGCAGGCATTATATGTTTCATGTTGTACTTGGAAGGGAATCCACTATTGTATCTGTGCAATGGCAGGAAAGATCATGTTTGATATTAAACTTTATTGACATCTCTTCTGCCCCCTTGTCAGGGGTGCACTTACCAGGTATATTCAGAATTGCATTGAAGTATATTCTGCTGGCTGTCACTGTCCTTGCCATATACATGCGTTAGACAAAAAGGGACGCAGCTAATAAGAGTTCCAGGATTTTCAAATTCTGGATAAAGCATAAAATGACTGAAGCTACATGTTGTTTCCTTGGGAACGGTGTGTATTCAGCTTCGGCTGTTTGGTGAACGCTTCTCTGGCCTGATCTGTTGCCTGTTTTATTATTTCCAGGACCAAGACTCCTGGACCTGGTGCCCAGTCAGCCCTCAGAGCTCTAGCTCGTTCTGGAATGAAGATTGGGCGCATTGGTAAGTGGTGTGCATATGGGGTATTTTAGACAAATAATGGGAAATTAGCATCTGTTCCCTGCAGGGCTTTGGAGCAGAGCCCGGAGCGGCTCCGGAGCAGTGGAGCTGCAGGTTTTTGCCTGGAGCTGGAGCGGAGCCAGAGCACAGCTTCGAAACCCTGTCACCAAAAGAACTCTGTGCGGATGCATCTGTTGTTATTTAATACCCTGAGTTACATGATGGCCAGGTCTGAGATTTATTCCCTGTTGGTCCTACAGAACCCAAGCTTGACCATCAGACATATTGAAATCCACCTGGTCACTTGTGCCTTTTGCCTGAGGGTGCTGAGTTTCCTTTAATTTGATGTGTATGTTCCTCGAGGAACTGGAGCACTTTCAATTAAATAAGAACCCATCAGCAAGTGGCAGGAGTTTTCAGTGTGGGCTAAGGATTGGGAACTAACTGCAAGTTGTGTGTGCTAAACTGCAGTTGTATAGCAAGATCGTGATGGGCCTCTGGTTTAGACTCACTGATGCTTTGCAGTAGCTGGAAGGTCTCTGGCCGTGATTTACTGGGGTGAAAGTCCCAAAAGGTGCTGCCGAAAATGCCTTCTCAGTGTTCAAAGAAACCTATGGAAGGACTGTGGTGTACATCGATCTCCAGTAGGAGCTTGTCTTGCAAGCAGGGGCTTGCCTGTTGCTGCTGTGGAAGTCATGTGACCTACAGTCTGTAGTTTCCTGTGATGCGCCATTTCAGTGTGGATTTTCCATATTATAAATGTTACAAATGTGGAAACCCTGCCACACGAGTCAACGCGCAAGTGAAATATTGTACCTCCTGCCCATCATTTCCTAGGCCTCCTCCTGAGAGGAAGTGGGGGTGTTTCCTGCTCCTTGCAAGAAAGGCTTGGGTTTTCTGTGAGGAAAGGTGGCCGCTGGGAAGCAAATGTTGATTTGGCATTATAATGCCCCTTGCGCACTCAAAGCGGAGTAAAAAATTTTGTCTTTTATACTAAATCCTCTTATCGTTAAAGTTAGATCCTACTAAAGGCCGGTCATTGTGTGAGGATACATTATTAGCATGTGAAGCCAATGCAGTTCTTCACTGCTGAGGTCTGGGGTAGTGGATGGGTGGTGTCTGGCAGGGTACATTTTCTGTACCCTGGAAAGCTGTTTGAAGCAACCTGCCATCATGAATGGTAATGTGTAACTTTCTTTCCACAGAGGATGTCACCCCCATCCCCTCTGACAGCACTCGCAGAAAGGGTGGTCGCCGGGGTCGTCGTCTGTAAACCGTGGCTGGCTTTTGTTTCATCATTAAATCTCTCAACGAAATTTCTGCTCTCGTTTGTGTTCTCTTAACACGAGCTCTGATCAGAGGGCTAGCGTTTGGTGTCGTGTGTCCTTTGGTTGTCATTTGAAAGCCCTGTGGTTGTAATGTCTTGTTTTCATGGAAACATTCAGAAGTCTGAATTACATACACAAATAGCTTGATCTCGGAAGATAGGTGTGCTGCTTATCTTCGCGCAGCTACACCAGGGGTGCCGTATTTGTGTATAAACTGGTAGAGCAGTTTAAAAGCACTCTAAAATGACAGCCCCAGCAGACGTTCTATGGCATGTTATACTTCCAGTTACATTTCTGTGAAAAATACTCTCTTCCTTGTAATTTTGTGCTCCCTGCTGTCCTATTTACCCTTCACTAATTCCTGTCATGATCGTATGGAAGGTATGCTCTCATCTGTGCTAAATGCATATCCCAGGTGTCAGCCCAGGGAGGTTTAAAAGCAAAGTGCCTACGTTCTGTGACTGTGAAGCCCCCCTCCACATTGAAAGGTGTTACCTATCATTGGGGGACTCTGTTTAAAGCTTGAAGATAATCGTCCTAATATCATCGGACAACGCCCCACTCCTTTGTTCTACCAGTGTCAGGGTGACGTCCAAAATGGCTTCTGATACCCTGCTACCTTCGTTGCTATATATGTGTTTCAAACAAGTTGTCCTCAAAAACTCCCATGTCCTGGGAGTTTTGTTCTTGCCCCTCTCCCAGTATAATAGCCTTTATTTGGAAATTGCATTTATTTTATGCTGTCCCAAGCGTTCTGCAGGTTGTTGTGAAGATTCATAACGACGGTAGACATAGCACGAAGCTAGTGGATTCGACAGGTGGATGTGGCAGTTGGTGCTTTTTTGGTCCTTAAGAGGCAGTTACAGCCTTCGATACTGTGGAAAAGATGTCTCATTTTTCCCCTCTCGAGCAGAAGTGGATTCAAATTTGAAGGAGCAGGGTTTGAATTCTTCCTTCCACTCCTTAGCAAACCTTAACAGTAACTACATGCCCTACTGAACAAATACCTCCTGATTTTTGCCACCAGCAATAGCAGACAAGTATGTTAACTTGAAGCTACTGCTAAAATTCAGCAGTGAAATAGTTAATGTCACCATTTCAAGTATCATTAGACTTGAGAATCAATGTCTCCATTGAAATAAAAGGGGCAGTTTGTAAGTCTGAGTTGTTTGGTTGAAAGCTTAGATTTCGAAGCACTATTATGCAGCAAACTCAGAGTAATTTAAGTGATTAAGACTCATGATATACATGAGGCCCTACATATTGGAGACATGGACTCAGAAATTCAAGTGTTGTGGTCTCCTGTGAGACCTCGGCCTGCCTTTGAACCTTTAGGTTTGAGAATGAACATAGAAAGATGGAGCTGCTTTCACATATACCCTTGCCAGCTTTGGCTCTTAAAACACTAGTGTCCCATAAGAGGATTTGTCCTTGGCCTCTCCCTTCCTCAGATACTGGAGAGGACCCTTTGGCTGCAGGTAGACAGAAGTGTCCAGTTCTCAGAGTGAATCCCATTTCCAGCTAATTGGCTAGACGTGGTTCTGAGTCCGAACCAGTACGTAGCACTGCCCTGCGGCCCCTTGGGGCTCTGTGTTGGCTCCCAACTCAGTGCGTCTCTCCTTACACTGCAGGGGCTGCCATTTAAATGGTGGAGAAGAGACGCTTAGGACTGAAGCCACCGCTGGGCTTTAATAGCCTTTGTTCAAAACCAACTCTAGCGCTGCAGCTTGCAGACCCTTTGTCCTGACTTCTTGGGAATGATCTGCTGACAGTGCCACTTTATCAAGTCCAGCGTCTTTCCTGTGGACTGTTACTTTAATAGCTGATCTTGGAATTCCCCTTTGCATGAAACATCCCTGGATGGGCGCTAGCGTCTCCCCTGACATGGCCAAACTGTCATTTGTAGCTTCATACGTATCACTGTTACACGGAAAGGCTTTTAGAAATAAAGGTTCTGTCCTGTTTCTTTTAGAGTTTTATTTGTAGGCACAATGACTAGCAGCATTTGAAGTTGATAAAGTCTCCTTCGAATTCCGCTGTTGGGAACCAGCCAAGGAATGAAGCTGAACATTAATGCTATTCCAGCCAGTGAGAAATTAGCCATGGCCTGATGTCGGAAGTTACCAGGCAGAAGGGTGCTCAGAAAGAACAGAAAAGTAGATGTGTTCAGAGGAGGTTCAGGGAGCTGGGTACCTTGTATCAGAGAAAGAGAAGAAAGGATAAACCAGTTAATAATTCTAAACAGCCTATGCTTGCTGATGTGAGACAGTCTATTGGAATCCCCATTCCTATTGGGCAATGATTTAGCCCCTTATCAGGAAAAAACAATCCCACACACGTACGTTGGGACAGATGGATGCTTGGCTTTGGAATTTAAATACATATGACATGCAGCTGTTCTGAAATTCACTGCACAATTCTTCCCCCCCCGCCCCCCCGTTTTTTTTCCCCCAATCAGCTCTATATGCCAGTTACTTAGAAACCGTTCCCAGCTGATAAAGTACTACTGCTATTTGGGTCTAGAAGTTACATGAAGCATCTAACTCTGGGATTCGGCAGTGGCCCTGTTTGCCCATTAATTCTACTGCCACAGATGTGTTGGTTTTTAAATGTAACTTTGATTTGGATACACAAGCTTTTGGAGTACACGCGTGTCTCTGATTGGGTTTGGCAGTTTGATTCTAATGAATAATTTGGTGCACATACACAGCAACGGTTGCAGAGTTACTCGGCAAGGTGAGGGGGAATTGTTGCCATTTGACAACGGGGGGGGGATGAAGGCCTGAGAGCGGTTAAGTCACTTGCACGCATTGACTTGGAGAGCCTTTTTAGCATCAATCTGAAACAACCCAGGTGCCTTGCGTCAGAGTTTGTAGGGTGTGCTGCATGGTGCAGGGTCTGGCCTCCAGGGGTTAAATGCAGTGTGTTCATAATCTTCCTGGTTTTGCCTTAAACAAGATGTGGGGAAGAGATTTCAAAGGCACTCAATCCCTGAGCTGAATGTACTGATTTTGGGGGTAGCAGAGAGGGTGTTGTTTAGGCGTGTTGAGTTAGTTGTGTGGCAAGCCAGTCAGCCATGGCTTAGCTACCAGTGCTCACTTCTCGTTTTGTGCTTGAGGGTGGTGGCTCAGATGAAAATTCACCCTTGGTGGCAGTCGCCACAAATCCAGAAAAGGGACCTTACTTTTTATTACACTTACTGATACTGATGGTAAGTGGGAGTACTCCAGGCCAGCAGCATCTTACCTGTCTTATTATTTATTACTAGGATCCCCAGTCGAGGGTCAGGCCCCCATTGTGCTCGATGCTGGACAGACAGGTAACAAAGATAACAGTCTTTTTTCTCCAGAACTCTCAATCTACAACTAAATAAGGGACCAAATGCAAGGTTCTGTCTCAGTCCTTGCTCAGGCAAAATTCCCATTCACTTTCATGTGTCGGTCTGAGCAAAGAACTCAGGATTTGGCTTAATAATCATGAATCTTCAGAAAAGAAATCAGACCTGGGCCTGGTCTGTGAAGTGTTTCCTTGTGTCTCTGACATAAGGCCTAGTGGCCTAGGAGCACTTGTTACTGCATTTGCAATAGGAGACTGAACTTCTCGCCTCTCACGTCAGACGCTTCTCTCTCTCACCTCCAGACATTGGCCCAGTCTGTGACATCTCCCTGGCCTCTGGTCTGAACAGCAGTCATGTGCGTTGTAACGTACCCACCACTTGAGTCTATGGAAACCCCAGAGAGCAGAAGTAACAAATGAGGAAGAGGAACCGAGTTGCTGGGGAGTTCCCGTTTCTGTAAGGATGTTGAGCAGAAATTTGGGCTGCTCCTAATTGGCTGTCTAGTTCCTGGCCCTGCTAACCTGGCGTTCTGTAGGCAAGGTCATCCGTGGCTCCTGGAGGGTGAGCCTTGCCTTGATGACGACTAGTCCCATCAGCCATGATCAGATGACACCTGCAGCGGAGAAGAAGTGAGGTGACTAAATGAACAGCCCGAGGAGAGCTCTGCAGAACGTGTTGGCTCTAACTACAGCTGTCGCAATATCCCCCTGTCTATGATCCTGTCAGATTTTGCAAGCTAAGCAGCCTCAGGCCTGGCTGTATTTGGACAGGAGACCCGTGTGATGCAGCAAATTCGGTGGCAATACAGTAGGTGTCAGACAAACAACCCAGCACCGTGTTATGGACCCTATGGAGTGCAGCCGTGGGTGAGACCTTTGGGATGAGGCATAAATTAGAGGTGAAGATCCCATAGCCCTGTTAACTCCATTGTCCTGCCTACCTAAATTCCTCCTGTAGTTTCAATTGGACACAGATTCCAAATACATCATTGGCAGGGAAAGTCATTCAAGCAGGGCCAAAGTGGGAAGAGGAAAGAATGCCTCTGTCTGAGGAAGAGGCATAAAATGCACTCCTACCCAGCACAAAGCTTCATACTATGTTCGGGATTTCTCCCCCAGTTCCAGCTGTCTTGACCGGCCCTTCTTGATTCTGCGGCAATCTGTGCTCTCTGCCATCGCTCCCAAGCCCTCTTTCCAGTACTTCATCACCTGCTGTCTAGTGTTGCTATGTACCACATCGCGCCTTCGTCTTTTGGTTTCAGTCCGAGTTGGACTGAATCCTTAGCTGCTGTCTTCCAGCCTCGGGATAGCTGCATTTCATGAGTGGGTGAAGTGAACTCGCTATATCCCTTATCTCCAAGGTGCCATGTGCTTTCATGTTCATTCCTGCTGGAATTACACTTAAAAGTAAACCAGGTATCACGTAGAGTTTCAGGATACATGGCTTTGCCCAGGCTGAATAAACTATGAAATCCTGGGTCCCTAGCTGCCTGGCTAGATTTCTCTGTGTCCTTTTGTCAAAAAGCTCCTGACCGCCAGGGAGTCCAATGTTTTTGCTACTTCTGTTGCGGAAGTGTAATGACCCTCTTCAAGCCTTGTAATGACCCTCTTCAAGCCATGTAAAGTGCTCTCTAATGGGTGTCTGATGAATG